ATGTGAGAGATACCCTAGTGAATAAATCTCTCAAAACACTGAATATATATATATATATATATATATATATATATTATAACATGGATCTGTACATGCAGCTAAGCATCATATCGAAGTGGACAGCAGTGATTTCTTGAAAGGGTTGAAACTTATGTCGTCTCTTAGGCTGCTTAGCCTTCAGGGCATCTCAAGGATCAGTGAGCTCACGGATTCATATATATATATATTATAACATGGATCTGTACATGCAGCTAAGCATCATATCGAAGTGGACAGCAGTGATTTCTTGAAAGGGTTGAAACTTATGTCGTCTCTTAGGCTGCTTAGCCTTCAGGGCATCTCAAGGATCAGTGAGCTCACGGATTCCATAAAAGGGTTAAGAAGTCTCAGGATCTTAGATCTCAAAGCTTGTCACAATCTTGAAGAACTTCCAAAGGAAATATCATTTCTCAAGAACCTAACGCATTTAGATATCTCCGACTGTTATCTAATAGATCACATGCCTAAGGGGCTATCTTCGCTATTTAAGCTCCAAGTTCTCAAGGGGTTCATCGTCGACGATTATCTTAACCAAACCGGCAAGTTCTGTATGCTTGAAGATTTGGTAGTGATGAAGAATCTAAGAAAATTGAGCATCATCATCAGCAAGAAGGATTTCCCTGCCGAGAAGGAGTTGAACGCGCTCGAAAGACTGGAAGCGCTCGAGAAGCTAACCGTGTCCTGGGGAGCAGAGTCAACTCAAAGGAAGAATGCAAGTGATCATCAACCAAATGAAGCAAGAATATCCCCACAGAAGAGTGAAACTACTATGGAGAAACCAAATCCCCAAAGAAAGGTAACTGCTAGTAGTACTTTTTCACATACGACGACTGCGAAAGATCTGCCGCAACATGTTAGTCCTTGGAAGCTTAAGAAACTTGATCTCCAGTGTTACCCTCAGCAAACATCTCCCAAGTGGATGACGCCCCAGAAACTGGCCAGCCTTGAGAAACTCTACATTAGAGGAGGAAGACTTGGACACGAACTTCTCGGGTTGTCGACAGGAGTCGAGTGGGAATCGGTTCAGACTCTGCGCTTGAAGTACTTGGCTGCGCTGAAAATGGACTGGGAAGAGATGCAAGCGCTTTTTCCAGGGTTGATTTACTTGGAGAAAGTTGATTGCCCTTTGATCTCTATGTGCCCTTGTGATGAGGATGGAGTGTGGGTGAAGCATACACAATAATATATATATATATATTATGTATGGAGTTTGAAAAACTAGAGAAAGCTGCCTGAAGAATCTCAATAAGGCAGCCTTAATTTGTATTAATCTGAATAAGGAGAAGTTGACAGAAGCAAAACTAGAATGATGTGGGAGTTTTATTGTTGTTGTTAGCCTTTCAATTGATTGATGTTGCTATATTTTGGCTACAACTATTCGTACAATATTGTGTGATTAATCTATACTTTGTAATTATTTGAGAATTCCAGCACTTTGATAAATAATAATTTGGTCCGTACTTTTGGATGCAATTGTCATGTACTCAGGGATGACGTTATAGTTTTGGATGTAGGGTTAATTACATAAATATATTTAACAGTTTTAATTTTTTTTTCTCAATTTATGCATTTTTTTTAGAAACTACAAAGATATCTTTGAATTTGAAAATTTTATTTCAATTTCATCCCCGTGGAAAAGTAGGGTGACAAGAAAAAAAGCCATAAATAGTTTCTGAAATATATTTTAAACAATGAAAAATACATAACAAACCCTACAATATAACATTTGTTCAAAAAAAAAAAAATAGAGCATATAATTTCCAAAACAAAAACTCAAAATTTGAATTTTATATGTTGTTTATAGTATAAAATTGAAACAGAGTAAGAAATTCAAAGAATACTTTTATGAATTATTTAAAACAAGTTTTTCAAATTTCAAGGATCCTTTTGTAGTTTTTAAAACAGAAGGAAAAATCAAGTAAAATTATGTGATTAACCTTTTGGATGTATGATGTTTTTTATATATATTATTGCAGTCCTTATTTTTCTTTTTTTCAAACCAATAAAGGCATTTGCAATAGTTGCATTCAATTAATCTTCGGAAAAATAAAAGCTGCATTCAAATTTCTACGATTAATCTAAAATGATTTGCACAAATTTATACAATTTGCCGTGCTAACACTGTTGTACACACTAGCTACTATAGCGATCATGTCACTACCCATTTTATTTATGGAACTTGAATATTTCGCCAACAAATTAATGGGTCTATACATGTATATTTACATAGTGATCGCAACACCAAATTAAAACATTGGAAGGAAAAAAAAAAAAAATATATATATATATATATATATATATCCAATCATTACACAATCTTCTTTGACAATACTTTGTTATAAATTATGGTTTGACACTTGACCGTGGCATTTTGATCATGGATTGTTAATTATCTCCCTTCTTTGGTTCTTCTTTCTGATTACTTGCATCAATATGTTCTTTATTCTGATCATGCAACTGTTTGCGCATGGTTACCCCCATCAATTTTGCTGCCAACGGAAGCCCATTACACTTGATTATAACCTTCTCTCTAATTAGGGCTTTTGTGATATCAGTCTTATTCCCACTCAACGAGGTCCCTGGATGTACAATATCTGCTATCCTCCCCAGTGCTTTATCTTTTAGTACATCTGTGTTGCTCAACGACGGATCTCCGCCTAAAGCGGCGTCCCAAAATATCTCCAATATGCTCTCCGGATCCGGTAAGGGGAGAACTCGGAGCACATTAGCCTCCCCAACCATCTTCTTGGCTGTCTCGTCAAACCTAGTCGTCACAATAACCGTTCCTCCACACCCCTTTGGCAGTGCACAAGCAAGACTAGTACCGCCGGAGGTATCGGGATCTGTGCCGGTACCTGATTTGTCTAAGTTTTCGTACCACGCATCAGGTGATAATTGATCACGTACATCATCAAGCACAATTAAGTACCTCTTTCCAATCAATTGAAGACGTAGAATATAGAGCAAGTCTTCGAGTAATATGAAATCATCATCAAGATCATGTGATGATGAATCAGGTTTTACGTTCTTTGCTCTAGTATTCATTGTGATCTTTTCTTCTTCAATGCCAAGACTTGCCAAAATTCTTTTCAGAATTGCAATCTTAGGGCTTTCATGATGACCCTTTCCGATATTTGCCGTCTGTTTGGGGATGGACACCCAAACCCTAGGAAGGAAAAACGTGCTCTCGAGGTAGTACTCTTGGCAAAGAGCCGTTTTTCCTACGCCACGTGTCCCGACGATCCCAACCGCCTTGAACTGATTGTCGTTTTCCCGATTCCCGAGCAGCTTCTTCAACGACAGCCTTTCGTTGTCAAACCCGTGAACCCGCGGGGGCAGTTCAGAATCTGCGGGTTTTGAAGTCCAATGAATCCGAACATCGATTGAGTCTGAGTTTGAGCTTGCTTTCCCGGAAGGAACTTTAGAATCTCCCTCTAGATCTTGTCCATCAACGTCATGATGATCAGGCTTGATCTTGTCGTTGTTTGAACCGCTTCTCTTTGGCTCACTTTTATCAGATGATTTGGAATGTACTGATGATTTCCCAAAAAGTGAGCTCATGTTTATTGGTGATGTGATTAAACTTTTTTGGTTTGAGGTTATTTTTCTGCCACCAAATGGAGCTGTATGTTATTTTGCCAATTTGCTTCCGAAAGTGTCGTTTTTATTTTGTTGTCAGGTCAGATTGAGTACTGAATAGTACATGAATCCTACTTTGCTTCTTTAGGTCGTCAAAGCCAATGCTTTGGTTCGAACGATCAAGATTTTTTATACCAATTAATGCGTCAGAAGAAGAGTACTATGATAAATTACAATATTTTATCATGGATTTTGGACTAGAATGATTCTTTTCCATTATCCCGAGGGATAGGGTAAGAATTATTTGTGTATATGGGTTTTCTTTGGTACATACATAATATGAATGTCATACATATATGTCACTTGTCCAAAACCAAAACCTTATGAATGTCACACACACAGAGACACATAATATATATATATATATATATATATATATTTGTGTGTGTGTGTGTGTGTGTGTGTCACTTGTCCAAAACCCTACCTTTGAAGTTTATTTGTGATGATTTTTTATGATCAAGTTGACTTGATTCTCGACTTGCCATCAGTTCGCATACATCAAGGGATCTCCGAGCACAAGTAACATAAAATATTCTGTTTTAAATAAGAAGATCATAAAGAGGACGTTTGGTTGGAGGATTCAAATCATGTGATTCGAATTATTTTTTATTTACGTGTATTTTTTGTGGGAGAAAATACTGTAGCGAACCACGAATCATAATTTGAATCAGGGAACGAATCCCTTTACTAAACATCCTCAAAATGATCCAATATCATGGAGAGATTAGGGTACGTAGCTGAAAAGCCTAAATGTATGTCTTACACGTTTCGACAAAAGAGAAAAATAGTCTTGCACGTTGTTTTACTCGTTACATGAATAGCCACACACACACATATATTATGGACATGCAGGTATTTAAAATATATTCTTTTTTATCAGAAGTCCAATTCCAAGCTAGTCAATCGTACCACATTTTTATTTTTAATTATTTTTCCTCTTCAGTTAACTTTGTACACCTTCGCTACTATAGCCCCCTACAGTTATGACTTATGTGAGACACATCTGGGCAGAAAAGGCTTAAAGAAATAGAAAAATACTTGAAGGCATTATTGGTGTCTAATATTAATTACAATAAATAAAAGGTGATTCTGAAGACCATGCTTGTAGAATTTATAATATGGGATTCATCTTTAATAAGTGTGTGGGGTTGAAAATCATGTTGAATTATAAACTTGTTTTATGGCCCAATCCATTAAATCTTCTTCAGAAATTTTTAAAAATACCCTTTGAAATGGAGCCCCTTTTATTTTTACTCCTTTAACATTAGCTTATTTTTCTACCTTTTAGACTATAATTAGTCAAGGAGTAGTTTTTTCATGTATTTAATTACGTAAAATCTGTAATTTTCTGAAATCTTGAAGCCTAGATCATCCCATTCCAAGTCCAAGCGCCGGAAGCTTCTAAAATTACTTCAAATTGTATTATATTCATGTGATAGGCATTATTGCGGATTAAGTTGTTGAGTTAAACACTGCATGGTGAAAAAGTTATTTTGCTCTACTAGTAGAAACTGTGTTTTAATCATATTAAATTTTTAACAGTCTGACTTACAATATAAATGATTCTGTATTGTGTACTGTAAATTTTTAACGTGGACATGTATAAAATTCTGTGTTGTGTACTGTAAATTTTTAATGTGAACATGTATAAATCTTATCGTTAAATAACTATTCTAAAAGTTAAAAATAACAGTTTCTACCCATGAAGCAGAATAGCATTCTTCACCCAAAAATTTCAAAAAAAAAAAGGGAAAAGAAAAAGAATAAGTTGACTAGTGTGTGGTAGTAGCCAAGCTTTGCGCTTTATCAATTTACTAATTAATCAAACTTTTGTATGGTTTTGCATGGCTTAGCTCTACTACAAATAACCATGAAGTCGTTCGGGTATTAGATATATCAGAGAAGAAAGAAGGAAAAGCTTCTAGAAAGTAATAAACAAAGCATAGCTTTATCTTGTGAGTGGAAGTGCTTGGCGAGAAAAATTTGAGAGTTGTATGTCGTGTAAGAGTGTGCTCTCTTCTTTATGATAGTATAATATTAAAACTCTGCATATCATTTTGTGAGAGTTTATCATTAGAACGACAACAATTCAAATTTTAACTTGTAACTTATGTACCAATAATTGTGTGAATTGTCATTCGTATATTGGTAGAAGTTTAAAATATTGCCACTTTAATTAATAATAAAAGATTGCATATACCAATAAAAAATAGATAATTTATATGCCACACCAGTTGATAAACAAGAGTTAGAATTTGAGTTGGTTTTTTTAACATTATTCTTGTCATTAATTTTTATTATTAATGTCCAACACATCATTGAGGTCTTATAACAATGTTGTTCTTGTATATAAGTATAAGTAACCAGTGGTTTTTCTAACACAATTAGAACTATTTTATTTTGAAAGCAGTCCATGTGCTTTTTATATAAATGACAAAAGATGACATAACTAATATACCACAAATATGAGTTTAACAAGTCGAAGGATCGGTCCAAATTAAAGGCCAATCCATAGTCAAAATTCAAATGAGATTTATATGTGATGGCCAAGACCTAAATCACCATTTTCTGCGGTCCAATATATTTTGCCTTTTCTAGAAGGAGAATGTAGTAAATAACAGATTCATTCTAAAAAAATATAGTAAATAATAGATTTATAAAACTAAATTAAGTAAATAACATATTTTAAAACTATTTGAAATAAATAAAAATTTACGTGATAAATGAGTCATTTACTATGTAAATGGTTCATTTACGGCTATAAAGATATTTTTTCACATAAATTTTATTTTTACACTGATAACAAGACTTTTTTTCTACTAAATAAGATTTATTACCACATAATTATTTTTTACCAATTAAATGATTCATTTACCATGTAAATTACTATTTATTTTAAATAGTTTTAAAATATACTATTTACTCAATTTAGTTTAAAAACTCTGCTATTTATTATAATTTCTTTTAAAAAAAAACTGATTTGAGTATGGGAGGGTCTTTGGCCAACACCACCCTGGTGCTTACATCATTTCTTTGATTGTTTTAATATTGGTTTGATTGTCTATTGTTATGAAGATAATATTATTCCAATTATACCATTTACTTTAATATTTCTAATATGATATAGATTCCAAAACCGAGGTTCTTTAAGGAATGGTTAACAAAGGATATAAAGATTATTAATTACAACTCATTTTTATGCACAAAGAGTGATATTTCTGGACATTTTTTTCGAGTCTTTGCATAATGGATATATATACACACAAACTAGGTTATAACTCCTTTTATTTACTCTTAGACGTTTGGTTGGAGAATTTATACCATGATTTGAATCATGGTTCATGGTTTGCTACAATGTTTTCTCTTATAAAAAATACACGTAAATCAAAAATAGTTTTAATTTCATGATTCTAATCCATGAACCAAACGGTACAAATTCATTTCTTTCAAATGTGTTAATATTAAGTACTATGGTATATGCACAATGTTAAAGTATAAAATTATTGTTGGCTCACCTCCTAATAGCTTAAGCTTTTGGTTGGATTGATAAACTAACATGGTATCAGAGTGGGAGGTCCTGAGTTCATACCCCCGTAATTGCACTCTTTATCCCCATTTAAATTGTTATAATGTGGTGGGTTCATGTGTTGAGCTTTCTAATTAATTTACCCACACGATTGCCTATTATCCAACCCACACGTGAAGAGGAGTTTTAAAGTATAAAATTATTATTGGCACACCTCCTAATAATTTAAACTTTTAGGAAGTTCGTGATAAACTAACACACAAAGAGTGATATTTATGATATATCATGGACCACATAATTTTTTTTTTTTTTTTTCTATTTTACATCAAAAACTAAATGCTTTCGCTTTTCATCTCCATGAAGATAGGAATATTACCGACAAAGTTCCGGGTGGCCCGTGCTTTTTTTTCTCTTTTACTTTATTAAATCTGATACCTGCACTTTGAGCTGTATACGATGAATTTGGGTTACACCTTGTACTCATGAGGTTATGATAGGACAAATGCACAAGAGCAGATTATACACACATGGAATATATTGCTTTTTCTTCGTTCCCTTTTTTCTTTTCTAAAAGCGACATATTTAAATGATTAACCAGATTTGCTTGATTAACAAAGTGATCACGTGACAACTTTATGTTACATATACCTTGAGTAAAGACAAAAACTGTCACGTATAGTTATGACTAACTTACTCCACTATTATCACAGTGTGAAGTAGTCTAGCGATAATTCATAGTAACTAAGTGTTGGTTTACCTCTTTAATTAAGAGTATTAAATATAAATGCTTATTTTCCGTCGGTATATTCGATTTAGAGTGTTTGAGACCATACCTTCATATACCCTTATCATTATTAATAATGTAAATGGACATGCTTCTCGTTTACATAGTATCATCGGTGAACATTTCTGTCAGTGTCTGAGATCTCTTCTCCAAACTAATTTATTATAAAAAAACACACTCTCCTATTTAATTTATTTTTCTTTTCCTTTTTTTTTTTATCAGCTGTAGTCAGTTAATAATAGAAATATAAATTAATGTTGGTTTGTGTCCTAGTATTTAATTAGCAACCAGCATTAGATATTGTATGTAAATCTCGGTTAAAAACATGCATGTTGCACGTGACCAAGTGTTCAGATTCTCCAATATTTGTCTGAATATTGCAAAATGCAAATGTGCAATCTGTAACCTATTATATAAAGTATATATATGTGTGTGCATAGTACACTATATGTTGTGAAGCTGACTGTAATTAACTAGTACGTACTGTGATCAGTAGATTCATGAGGGCTAATATTTTCCTCCAACAACGTTTTTAGAGAGACAGAGAAAAAGAAAAACCAGTATAGATTATCAGCGAAGATAACTGTACGTAAATAATTATGGTTTCTCCGATCCCAAACAGCGTCAGAAAGCTGTGGAAAGAATGGAACGTCCGAAGCATAATGCTGTTCAGCCTGGGAATGCAGACATTCCTGATCCTGGCGGCTCCCTTCAGAAAACGCACCTCACATAAGATACTCATCTTCTTGCTCTGGGCGGCCTACTTGCTCGCTGATTGGGCCGCCAACTTCGCGGTCGGCCACATCTCTAGCCGCCAGAACGACAACTCCGACGTCGGCTCCGATGAATTTCATAACGACATCCTCCAGGCCTTTTGGGCGCCGTTTCTTCTTCTCCACCTCGGCGGACCCGACACCATCACTGCCTTTGCTCTTGAGGATAACGAGCTCTGGCTCCGGCACTTCTTAGGGCTGGCGACTCAGGTTTTTTTTTTTCTTTACAATTTTTTAAAAAATCTTAACAAATATCCTTTAAAGATCACAAGTCTCGATTTTTACCTATTATTTTTTTATTAATATTTTTTTAGTCAAATAACTATATTAATAAAATAGATTAATTAAAAATAATAGGTAAAAATTCATACACATGTACTTTTAAAAATAAAAATAAGTTCAACAATTTGCTTTTTATTTTTATTTTTATTGAGAAGTTATGATGAATGGCATAAAAAGAATCATCTTCGGATATATGTCACGAATATTAAACTTTTAATTTATTCATATAAATTTGTGACATGCCACCTGATTTTTGATTTGCTCCTTTGGTAGAACTTTTTTGTAATTTTTTAATAAACTGCTAGCATAGAAATTCCTTTTACTCCCTAATTACCATCAGATTCGACTTATATATTTCATTTTTCTTATCCTCTTTTGTGTCTATAATACTATATCGTATCATCAGAACATTTTAATTGACATTACGTCTTAATTATTGTGATATAATAGTTTATTGACATGCATTTTAATCGATATGACGTGATATTATTAGAAACATCAAAGATATAAAGGGAACATGCACATTTCAGTGGAATCGCTCTATCCATAAAAAAATGTCCTTACATAATACAGCTTGTAAATTTTTACTTAGTGACATGCCATTCAGGTTATGGCCACTATTTATGTCTTCGTCCAAACCATTCCCGGAAACACGCTGTGGATCCCGACGGTTATGATGTTCCTCGGCGGAATCATCAAGTACGGCGAGCGAACTCGCGCGCTGAACCTGGCGAGTCTAAACAGCTTCCGCGACTCTCTTCTCCAGAAGCCCGACCCTGGTCCCAACTACGCGAAGCTCATGGAGGAGTACTCCTCAAAGAAAGATGCAAGGCTTCCGACAAAGATTCATATGACGCCGGAGCCCCAGAGGATTCATATGACGCCGGAGCCCTCCTCAAAGAAAGATGCAAGGCTTCCAACAAAGATTCATATGACGCCGGACCCCCAGAGGAAAACCCAAACCTCAACCGAAGACGAGGAATATTTGACCAATATCGAAGTTGTCGTCGAAGCCTATCACTTCTACACAATCTTCAAGGGGCTTATAGTGGACTCCATCTTCAGCTTCCGAGAACGCAACGAGAGCAGACAGTTTTTCGCTGACAGAACTCCAAAGGACGCCTTAAAAGTGTTGGAGGTCGAACTCAACTTCATTTACGAGGCTTTGTACACTAAGGTTGTTGTTGTGCACAAAATAATTGGCTACGTATTCCGCTTCGTTGCGTTCTCTGCGGTTGTCGTCACGCTGGGACTGTTTATTACCGCCGATAAAGACGGCTTCAAGGAGTTCGATGTCGGAGTTACCTACACTCTGTTGTTCGGCGCCCTTGCTCTTGATTTTATAGCTCTGTTGATGCTCATTGTCTCCGATTGGACTCTAATCAGTTTGCAGAAATATAAGAGGAAAGCTTCGTTTTTGGTGACTCCGTTTGAATGTTTTCTAGGTTTTGTTCTTCGTTTGCAGAAGCCAAGCTGTTGTTATGATCGCCCAAAGAATCTTTTCTTACGTTGCTGTTTGAGGTTAAGAAGGACACTGTTTCGCAGGTGAGTAGCTTAACACCACAATTAACACACACACACACACACACACATATATATATATATATATATGATTTATAGTACTCATGAAGATATTAATGATAATATAATAGCAATTCTAAGACACAAAATATGAAATCGACTTTTGTTATATTACGGTCCATTTCTATGTCCTCCCATAATATCACAACAATTAAAATAATTTGTCAATTAAAATTTTATGTCACATCAACTAAAAATCATATCATGTAAATTATTTTAATTAAGGTACCATGATATTATTGGAAGGACATGAAAATAAACAGAAAAAATATGAGCCTATATATTTTCCTATTATTATGATTTTGTGTCCACTGTAATTCGTTATAGCATTTGCATTGGGCAGGTGGTCCGAGTCTATTCGTGGATACAACTTCATATCATATTGTCTCCAACAACGTCTAGATCAAAGGGTTCTACTTCGTATTAACAAAGATTCTGCTGATGCTGCTGATCGCGAATGCCAAGCCATCCTTGGAACTAAAATCATCAAAGGACCAACACTTGCCTGTGTTAAAATCCTCAAGTACTTGTGCCTCGGATTGAACAGACTCCTTGAGTTTCTGGGGGCTAGGCATCTTGTGGACGAGTGGTTTCACTCCAAGAAAACAATAATGGCTGGCGATCTATGGGAGTTCATCTTCAATGAGCTGCAAAGGAAAGCGAACGACGCCGAGGACGCGGAGATCGCGAAGCACATCTTCGAAGCCAAGGGCTGCTACGTCCTGCAAGAAGGCAAGTGGAAGAACAGCGACATCAACAAGCTGATTCCCTACATCGAAGACCTCGCTTACGACGAGAGCCTTGTGTTGTGGCACATCGCCACCGAACTCTGCTTCCAAGATGAACAGCCGGAAGATAAGAAGGATGAGAACAACACAAAAACTAACAATGTTACAACTCAAAATGATAAAGAACAACACAAAAACTACAGAGAGTTTAGCAAGATACTGTCGGATTACATGCTGTATCTGCTGGTGTTGCAGCCGACGATGATGTCGGCGGTGGCGGGGATCGGGCAGATTAGGTTCCGGGACACGAGCGCCGAGGCGAAGAAGTTCTTTATCCGGAAAGGGGTGGGGCAGAATAAGAATGTTTCGGCGTGTAAGAGCATACTTAGGGTCAACACTGAAGTTAAGCCAGTGACAGTGAAGGGAGATAGGAGCAAATCGGTGTTGTTTGACGCCTGTATATTGGCTAAAGAGCTTCAACAGTTTGGAGAGGAGAAGTGGGAGATATTGATCAAAGTTTGGGTTGAGATGTTGTCGTATGCGGCTAGTCATTGCAGGCCAGAAGCGCATGCGCAGCAACTGAGCAAAGGTGGTGAGCTTATCACTTTCATTTGGCTTTTGATGGCTCATTTTGGGTTGGGAGATCAGTTTCAGATTAATGAAGGCCACGCCAGAGCAAAACTCCTTGTGGAAAAGTAGTTGCCAGCTAATCGAAGAAGGAAATTAATTATATAAATGAAGATATATAATTAGTATTACCTTTCATTTCATGTTTTATTTATTTATTTATTTATTTATTTATTATTTTTTGTCTTGATTGTTTTCTCATTTTTCCTAAACGGTTTTGTACTCTTTTAAGAGATTGTATCAGTGTGATTTCTAAGTAAATTAGTAAAGCAGATCTTCAATTTTTTTCCCCGAGGAGAATGAGAGGATCTGCATTCTTTGTATCACTTTCAGAAACAAAAAATCTGTACAGTTAACCAAGGAATTTGTTTGTTGAGGATGAAATTGGCTCAGCACCGACTTGAAGGAACTTCCACGTGCAGCACTTTTACTAAGCAAGACGCTGCGTTTAGTTTTCTTGAACTTTCTGTTGTCGTTTTCATTCTTCTTCTTTATTATATAATACATATTTATTGAGATTACTCTCACAATTAGACAATATTAGTAAAGCAGAGTAATGAAGCAAGATCAATTATCTTTAAAAAGAATAATCATGTCGTCTTATTAGTTATAAGGCAATCATGCAACTAGATTTTATATTTGGAATTTTTGCCCACGGCCCTGATTTAATTTGTCTAAATGAGCATTACACAATGTGCATATTGTTACGTCTCTCTTACAGCTGTCAATCTCTCGATTATTTAATTATTATGGGCTTGTTCAGTTATATTTTTGAGTTATGATGATTTGAGTGTAGATCTTAAGTTAAATTTGAGTTGAAGTTGTAACTTAATTTGTGTTTAGATGTGCACATTTGAGTTATGATTTGAATTGAGAATCTATTTGAATTTATGTTTGAGTGGATCAAAACTTGAATTTGTATTTAGATAGTATGTTAATAAAAACTCAATGGTAATGAAAAATTTTAATAAGGTATATGTGTGGGGTTTTATTTATCTCTTCGTTGTGAACACATAGAAAAAAAATCATCTCAATCGGAATTAAAACGAAAAAATTATGACATTTTTAAGAATATAAAAAATATTGTTCATTAACTTGAGTTTGAGTTTAAGAACTTGAGTTGAAGGAGAAACTTAGATTTTAGTCCCAAACTCAAGTTAAAACTCAAATTTTACAAACGAACATGAACTTAAATAAAATTGTAACTTTAGTTCAATTTTTTTTTAAGTTTTACTCTTTAGAACAAGTCCTATATTATCCCATGCATGGTTGTTAAAACGAACCAACTGTGTGTGTGTGTGTGTGTTTTTTTGTTTATATATTGTTGAATATTGGATATTTATTTATTAATCAGTATAGAGTTTGATTGAGTGTAAATATTGATTTCCTTAATCATTTGATTACAACGTATGATATATATATATATATACACATACTGGTACAACTGAAGTGCAGGGATTACATTAACCAACAGATCCTAAGAACTAGGAATGATCTATTTGGGCTGTTGAGGTTGTTTGAGCTTAAGAGATTCTCGGGCTGGCGATTCTGGAGAGTTGTCTTCGGTTGCAGCTGCAGGCGGCTGAACTGAGCATTTACTAACAGACCCCCACAAGACGGTGCTCCCATCAGAGATACCGATCTTGGAGCGAATTCGGTTGAACAGGAAGGAGGATAATGGTTTTGTAAGTGCATCTACAAGTTGTTCTTTCGACGCAATGTGGGACACCTTAAAGGAGCCTTTTGCAACATGATCCCGTACAAAGTGATAATCAATGGCAATGTGCTTCATGCGGGAGTGGAACATCGGATTGACAGACAAATAAGTTGCACCGATGTTATCACAAAAAATGGTTGGAGTTATGGCGTAGTTGATGTGAAGTTCACGAAGTAAGTTTTGTAGCCAAAGAACTTCAGTAGCACATGAAGCTAGAGCGTGATATTTAGCTTAAGTAGACGAGCGGGCAACTGTCTTTTACTTTTTGGAGCACCAAGAGATAGCATTGCCATTGAAGTAAATAATGTAAGCCGATGTCGAAGTGCGGTCATCACGATTCCCTGCCCAATCTGTGTCGGTGAAGGCGGTAAGGGTGAGTTGTTGATTCTTTTTGAGAAAGAGACTGTGATACATGGTGAATTTGAGATATCGCAGTAGTCGTTTTGTGGCCGTCCAGTGAGCTTTGGAGGGAGAGTGCATGAACTGGGCCAATTTGTTTATAGCATAAGAGATGTCCGGTCTTGTTAACGACAAATATTGGAGTGCGCCGATGACTTGGCGATATTTGGTTGCATCAGTAGGTGGTGAGCCATCATGAAGGTGAAGGGGCTGAGTAGAAGACATTGGTGTTGTACATTCTTTTGCACCGGCCATGTCATTCCTGTCAAGTAGATCCCGAATATATTTGTGCTGAGTGAGAAGGATGCCAGAGGGTGTCGGAAGAACTTCAATGCCAAGAAAGAAATGGAGATCCCCGAGGTCTTTCACAGAGAACCGGGTACCTAGAGTAGAGAGAAAAGTGTGCAAAAACTTGGTGCAGTTGCCAGTGACAATTAGATCATCAACATAAACCAAAAAATAACATGTTGTAAAGCCTTTGTGATAGATAAAGAGAGAAGCGTCACTGTGAGAGTTAAGGTTCCCTTTGAAGAGTTCTTTGATAAAATAATTGACCATGAAACCTTCCTGCTGCATAATGACAAATATTTCTCTGCATCCCCCCACCCATATAGAGTTTAATTGAGTGTAAATATTGATTTCCTTAATCATTTGATTACAACGTATGATATATATATACACGTACTAGTATAACTGAAGTGCTGGTTTTTAGGGATTACATTAACTAGCAGATCCTAAGAACTAGGAATGATCTATTTGGGCTGTTGAGGTTGTTTAAGCTTGAGCAATTCTCGGGCTAAAGATTCTGGAGAATTGTCTTCGGTTGCAACTGCAGGCGGCTGAACTGAGCATTTACTAACAATCAGTACAGTTAACCAAGGAATTTGTTTGTTGAGGATGAAATTGGCTCAGCACCGACTTGAAGGAACTTCCACGTGCAGCACTTTTACTAAGCAAAACGCTGCGTTTAGTTTTCTTGAACTTTCTATTGCTGTCTTCATTCTTCTTCTTTATTATATAATACATATTTATTGAGATTACTCTCACAATTAGACAATATTAGTAAAGCAGAGTAATGAAGCAAGATCAATTATCTTTAAAAAGAATAATCATGTCGTCTTATTAGTTATAAGGCAATCATGCAACTAGATTTTATATTTGGAATTTTTGCCCACGGCCCTGATTTAATTTGTCTAAATGAGCATTACACAATGTGCATATTGTTACGTCTCTCTTACAGCTGTCAATCTCTCGATTATTTAATTATTATGGACTTGTTCAGTTATATTTTTGAGTTATAGTGATTTGAGTGTAGATTTTGAGTTGAATTTGAGTTATAATTTGAGTTGAAGTTGTAACTTAATTTGTGTTTGGATGTGCACATTTGAGTTATGATTTGAATTGAGAATCTATTTGAATTTATGTTTGAGTGGGTCAAAACTTAAATTTATATTTAGATAGTATGTTAATAAAAACTCAACAGTAATGGAAAATTTTAATAAGGTATATGTGTGGGGTTTTATTCATCTCTTCGTTGTGAACACATAGAAAAAAATCATCACAATCGGAATTAAAACGAAAAAATTATGACATTTTTAAGAATATAAAAAATATTGTTCATTAACTTGAGTTTGAGGGGAAACTTGAACTCAGATTTTAGTTTTAAACTCAAGTTCAAACTCAAATTTTACAAACGAATATGAACATAAATAAAGTTGTAATTTTAATTTTTTTTTTTAAGTTTTACTCTAAAAAGAACAACTCTTATATTATCCCCTGCATGGTTGTTAAAACGAACCAACTGTGTGTTTTTTTTTTTGTTTATATATTGTTGAATATTGGATATTTATTTATTAATTGTAAAAGGGCTCAAACGATCACAAAATGAAATTGTTGGGACTTTTCCCTTTTCCTTTTATACGAGTGTTGGCACTTTTTCACGTTTCCTAATTCTTCGTCTCCAACAAGATAGGAATTTCTAATAAACGAAAATAGGGATCATATATATATATATATATATGCTTTTCTTCGCTTTGAAGGCCAATGTTGGAGAATACTAGCATACGACGAAATTTGGTCCATTCTACTTTGATGAGGACAAACTACAAAGCAAAAGTAACTGAAAAAACGTTGAACCGTATTGCTTTCTCCTTCTGTTTGCTTTTTGGCCTTTTTTATATTAGGGGATGTTTAGTTGGAGGATTCAAATCATGATTTGAATTATGATTCATGGTTCGTTATAGTGTTTTCTCTCACAAAAAATACACATAAATCAAAAATAGTTCTAATCTTATGATTCTAATCTATGAACCAAACGTCTCATTAGTGTTGATAAATTTAAAAAAAAAATACTTGATTAAAAGAAATTCAAATACTTAAGGCCCGTTTATTTTACCGATTTGAGTTTAGAATTTAAATTTTATTACAGCAAAAAGCTCTCAGAAACAGTCAGATCTAACTTTTTTTGCTACAGTAAAAAGCTTTCACATAAAATTATATCTCAACTCAAATTAAAAACTTAAATCAACGAACTAAAAATGCCCTTAATAATGTGAAACATTCCGTACATTCTTCTACTAATAAGAATTCATGGCTTCACAGTATCAATTACCTATAAAATAAGCCTTGAAATTTTTTTGATCTCCTTTTCTTTTTCTTCTCCCCACTTTTTGCTCATTTAAAATAACGGACTGTATCAATATTTACGTAGTACATATCATGTATGCATGAATCACATGGAATTTTTGTACACATGAAATTATGCATGTATTAGGGATTTTTTCTAATACGTTAACATATTGATAGATTAAATTTTTTATCTATTAAATCTGTATTAAATTACATAAAAATCTAAATGTATGCAGATATAACGATAAAAAAAAAACTTAATTTATTGATATGTCAATAGTAAGCAGAGAATCTCCCATTTATTTAATCTTGATTGGGGAATGATGCTTTATACGGCCTATATACACCTTTTCTTTTTCTGATAGTACTCGTTATTAATTTTGTCATTCACAAGTTTGGGAAAGCATTTGCTGGTATGGGCCATGCTGAAACAAAGCGAAATAACAGAATTATCCAAATAGTTATTCATTGATTCGGTATATTAACAAAGGAACCGTTCTAGCAGCAAAAACAAAACAAAAATTTTTTTTTAAAAAAAAGCAAAAAAACAAAACAAAACAAAAACAAAAACAAAGGGGACCTACCAAAAAAAAAGGAAAAAAAAAATCCTAACAAACTAAACAAAAAGGAATAACAGACGAAAGAAAAAACATATGTAGGATAGATATATATTTTTAGGGGCCTTCGTACGTCAAGTCTCATTTTTTATCTGTCAGATTTATATAAAATCACATAAAAATTAAAATACATATAGATTTAACGGTTAAAAAAATTTGACTTATTAATACATCAGGCGTACCAGAGAATCTCTCATATTTTTAAGAGATAGGTTTTTCTTAATAATAATAGAATTTTTCTGGTAGGACCAGAAAAAATAAACTATCGATCAGTAGTTCTCTATTCTTCAGCCGTCAAATCTAAACTGTTTATTCTACATATGTTTTTAATTTGATGTGATTTTAATTAAATTTAACGGTCAAAAACTGACCCTATTAATAGACCGACCTACCGAAAAATGTCCCAATAAATTAACAAAAAAACCATGTTAGATTTCAATTGAAGCTGTGCATGATGGATATTTTCTAGGCACTAATTAAAAGGGGGGCATTACGTGTAGGCGAGACAAAGAATTTATCCAAATAATTACTTTTCGTCCCAGTATTTTGTTACATCACTAATCAAACGGGAATATTGAAGTCCATGCAAAAAGCACAAAAAAGAAAAAAGAAAAAAAGAGAAGGAAGGAGAAATAAAGGAGATTCTCTAGTACGCCTAACGTATTGGTATATAAGATTTTTTTAACTGTGAAATTTGTGTATTTTTTAAATTTTATATAATTTTATGCAGATTTTACGAATATAAAACTTAGTCTACTAGTATATTAACATACCAAAGAACGTCTCGACAAACAATTTATATATATATATATATATATATTTGAATAATGAGAGAAGCCAACCAGATAGAACAACTTGAACTACCCAACTATAGATTGGTACTCTCTAATAGTTCTATTCTATAGGAAACTCTCCATTCTATATTATTAATAAAAGATCATAAAAAAATTAAAAAGAAAAAAATATTGACCTAAGTAATTTAGGGTCTCGTTCAGTTCGTCGATTTGAATTTTTAAATTGAGTTGAGCTGATTTTATATAAGAGCTTTTAACTGTAGTAAAAAAGTTAGATATGACTTTTTGTGAAAGTTTTTAACTGTACTAAAATTAAAATTAAAAACTCAAATCGGTGAAATCGGTGAAATCAACGAGACTAGGATTAGAAAGCAACAACATCTCTATAAATTAGGAATCTGCAAAAATTCCGCAACAATTCATCACCATTTTTCAGTATGCTGCTGAACTGCTTTAAAAGCCAACCTGTCTGCTACTTGATTTATTACTACAAATAAGTGGAATTAAGTTGACTAGTATTGATATATTTTATTTCATATTAAAATGGCACCCGTGGTGATTATAATTTAACTTCATCTGACAATTTATTTTAAATCAAAATTTTTGCAAGTAGTTGTATTATGATAGCAACCGAAATAGGTTAGTCCCATTAATACCAGTAACCATGGATTTGTACTTGATTATTGTAAGGTTTAATAAGAACTCATATTTTTTTATCACAAAATTGTTTTTTTAGATTAATATATATCAGCATATGATTGATCCTGATGAAATAGAGAACTTACGCAAGACAAAATATATTATGAAACTATTATATGTCTCTTAAACTAAAGTAGTGAATACCGCTGCTTTAGTATCTTTTCCTTTTCTTATTCTTCCATGTGTATATTTTGTGTTGCACAAGTCTGAGAAAAATTGTGATAGATGGTAAAGACAAAAATTCTAGTGAGCTTTTATAAAAGCCAGTCATTTTGGCTAAGGGTGCATCTTCAAGAAGAAAACAAAAAAGGGAAGAGAGAGAGAGAGAGAGAGAGAGAGAGAGAGAGAGAGAGAGAGATCAAAATGTATGTCTCAAGCTTACTGGCTATAATAGATTTAGATAGGGACAACACTATTGATACTTTTTGCTTTACTACAATGCTGAGGATTGAATCCCGAATAGTGATTTGAAATCTTGTTGGTCACTTTGGCAAAGGCTGAAGGCTTTATTATATATGCAAATGAGAAGACTGAAGGAAGTGCATTGAGTGCTAGACGAACTTAAATCGAGATCTTTTAAGAGTTTCTCAATCAATTTCAGACAACTTTAGAATGGCGTCATCATCCAATCCAACACCACCACTCGTGTCACCTAGTTCTGATTCAACACTGTCACCTGGTGCATCAAGTTCTGATCTAACATCACCACCTCAGGCACCCATTTCTGATCCAACTACGCCGCCACCGGGAGGACCCAATACTACTCCAACACTACCATCTAGGGCATTAAATTCTGATCTAACACCACCACATCAAGCACCCATTTCTGATCCAATTACGCCGCCACCTGGAGGATCCAAAACTACTCCAATACTACAATCTGGGGCATCAAGTTCTGAACCAACACCACCACCTCAGGCACCCGTTTCTGATCCAACTACACTGCCACCTGGAGGATCAAATACTACTCCAACACTACCATCTGAGTCATCAAGTTCTGATCCAACACCACAACCTCAGGCACCCATTTCTGATCCAACAACACCGTCACCTGGAGGATCCAATACTACTCCAAGACTACCATCTGGAGCATCAAGTTCTGATCCAACACCACCACCTCAGGCACCCCTTTCTGATCCAATTACACCGCCACTTGGAGGACCAAATACTACTCCAACACTACCATCTGGGGCATCAAGTTCTAATCCAACACCACCACCTCAGGCACCCGTTTCTGATCCAACTACACTGTCACCTGGAGGACCCAATACTACTCCAGCACTACCATCTGGGGCATCAAGTTCTGATCCAACACCACCACCTCAGGCACCCGTTTCTGATCCAACTACACTGTCACCTGGAGGACCCAATACTACTCCAACACTACCATCTGGGGCATCAAGTTCTGATCCAACACCACTACCTCAGGCACCCGTTTCTGATCCAACTACACTGCCACCTAGAGGATCAAATACTACTCCAACACTACCATCTGGGTCATCAAGTTTTGATCCAACACCACAACCTCAGGCACCCATTTCTGATCTAACTACACCGTCACCTGGAGGACCCAATACTACTCCAACACTACCATCTGGGGCATCAAGTTCTGATCCAACACCACCACCTCAGGCACCCATTTCTAATCCAATTACACCGCCACCTAGAGGACCAAATACTACTCCAACACTACCATCTGGGGCATCAAGTTCTGATCCAACACCACCACCTCAGGCACCCATTTCTAATCCAACTACAGCGCCACCTGGAGGACCTAATACTACTCCAACACTACCATCTGGGGCATCAAGTTCTGATCCAACACCACCACCTCAGGCACCCGTTTTTTATCCAACTACACCGCCACCTGGAGGACCCAATACTACTCCAACACTACCATCTGGGGCATCAAGTTCTGATCCAACACTACCATCTCAGGCACCCGTTTCTGATCCAACTACACCGCCACCTGGAGGACCCAATACTACTCCAATACTACCATCTGGGTCATCAAGTTCTGATCCAACACCACCACCTCAGGCATCCGTTTCTGATCCAACTACACCTCCACCTGGAGGACCCAATACTACTCCAACACTACCATCTGGGGCATCAAGTTCTGATCCAACACCACCACATCAGGCACCTGTTTCTGATCCAACACCACCACATCAGGCACCTGTTTCTGATCCAACTACACTGCCACCTGGAGGACCCAATACTACTCCAACACCACCACCCGAAGCATCCAAGACTCCACCATCACCACTCTTATCACCCAGCATAACCATTTCAGGTACACTAGTATCAAATTATCAATACACCCATTGTTTTAATCTTTGTTCATCTTTAGCGTCTTGTTTGAAATGTTTCTAGCCTAGTTGTTTCTATTGTATATTCTGCAATAGCATGCCAATCTCGAACTAGATAGACGAGGCATTTTGTAAATCACATTTCGTTACTTTCTTAAGCCTTTCATGTGTATATATCATGTATGCCTTTGCACGCTGTATAAATTATTGTCTTCAAATTAAACCATTTCAATTTTGATCATCAGGAATATAGAAAGAATTCATTTTTTGTTTAAAATCAATATAAAGACCAAATTAAGTCTATATTGATCTATTTTAGATTAAAATTGAGTAATTAATTCTGTAACAATTAGTACACTACAACAAGCTGCGACCTAATTAATTCTGTCTTTCTAATTGTCTCTTCAACCTTTCATGTAATTTCTACTGAGTTAAGATATAACTAGATCTAGAAGATTATGATGTGTAGTTGTGAGAGAGAAATGAGAAAAAAACAACCAAATAAAATAAATCCTTATACAACCTTCGCAATCTCTCTCTCTCTCTCTCTCTCTCTCTCTCTTTTTTATTTATTTTTATAAGTGACTCTTCCAACATTAATTCTCATTGCGCTGGAAGGTCATTTCATTTCCCCTGAGAAGGATAAGTCCTGATAATTAGAAAAATTCCACGGGGCTACCATATGTTTTACTTTTGTGACATTCTCTCTTACTGATGAATTCAGTTATTTATGTGTTTGTATATATTTTTTGTTGGAAATTTATCTAAAACCAGTTTCAATTCTAAATCAACCAAACGTGAAAAACGAGAGAAAGAACACCAAGATTTGTTATCGAGATTCGGTACAAATTGATACCTATGTCTCTACGAACTCCCCAGAATAAGTTCGATTTACACTATTGAAAGAATGATCAATTACAAGAGTTTACACTAATAATATTCTCTCAGAAAATACAACCTTACCCAGAGAAAAACCACAAGAAATTTTCCCGAGAAAATTTTGCCTTTTCTCTCTTCCTTTCTTGTTCTAACCCCTTTCTCTATCTTAAAATTTTTCTGTTACTGAATTGCTCTCAACTCATCAATCTCTCAACCCAGAAAACTGATTTCTGTTTTCTTCTTAGATCTCTCTGAAAAAACTAATTATGTTATAACTATATATGAATATATATAAAAGCTGTAGTGAATGTCGGTGGTGCTCCAGTTAACACTTCTTGTATCTATTGCTCAGCCACGTCAGCTTCTCCTTTCATTTACTGAAACGTTGCCGTTTAGCTTGTACACAAATCTGCATTCTTCCAAAATTTATATAATGACTTGTAGTACTTGTTAATAACATAATGAACAGATCATTTATAATTGAATCCTTAATTATATGGAAATTGATTCAACAATTTTCTAGAAGTATTTTTTAAAAAATATTGTTGTCCTTTATATATCTTTTCAACATATGCACTTATTTCTATAATTTGATCATTAGTCACCGATTAAAACATAATAACTCATCTATATATATATATATATATATATTAACTCATAGTATTGCTTAGTCACCATGCATTCCATATAACTGCAAACAATTAATTAATATATAGGAGACAGTCTTGTTCTGGTCAGTCAAATGTGATTTTACACAACATGTAATATTCTAACGTATGAAATTATTTGCTTTGTTTTACAGTACGTAAGTGATACATAATTCTTTGTCCATTTAATAAAGTACATATATATATATATATATGATACACATAGACAAGTTTTAGTGGTTACGTTTTCATAGGTAATTTGATGATGTAATATGATAAAAATCTAATATCATGAATTACCTATTATTCTTCTCTTTTTTTTTTTTTTTTTTTTTTTTTTTTTTTTTTTTTGCCATACAATAATACCTACATTAAAACTGCAAACCACATGGTGTATATATATGAACAACATATTACTGCACTCAAAATTTTGTCTTTGGCGGGGGGGAATCATGTCTAGCAGGGTGCGAATTGAAGTTTCTTCTCTTAGTCAGAAGACTATATTATCATGTCTTTATTTGAGAAATTAAAGCACATATTGAGTTGATATGTATATATGATTTCTTTTTCTTTTTTCTTAGAGCAATATGTTCATAAGGTCGCACTGCAAAAGCTGAAAATTTTTCTGGAAGCTAAAAATGAAACGACAACAATAACTCTCCATGGTGAAACTGGAGTGGGGAAAACGTGGATGGCCAGAGAGATCTGCAGAGAGATCTCCAAAGACATGCATAACGCTGGAAAGGAGAGCTTATTTAGTGGGACCCTTTGGCTCTCTCTAAACAAAAAATATCATGGTACCGATCCAAGTACGAGATCCGAGCTAATTCTTGTGGACATTGCACGCAAGTTATGTGTACTTCCCTCTACTGAAGGAGGGTTTGAAGATGATGATGATGATGAGGATGAACATCAGGAATCCAAGAAAGATTTAGCTCATCCCCTTCAGGTCGATGTTATCAAAAAGCTCCATCAGATGATGATAGAGATGGATAAAAGTTTTGTTTTGATTCTCGACGGTGTTCCTGATGACACTAAGAAAATTGAAGCAGAAATCATCCACCAATTCAAATCGCCGAAGAATCTGAAGGTCGTTATGATCACTAGTACTAAATCTGATATGATCAAGGAGGATCCTAGTAAAGGAGAGTTTCTCATTGGCTCTTTGAGAAAAAGAGAGTTTCTAGAGCTGTTGAAGAGTACTAGCGCAGGAACAGAAGGTTTAGAAGGTGTAGAATCTTTGATAGAAAGGTTTAAGGATGTCATCTTCAGAGATCTCCGCGTCGTTTCTCTGCCTGCCGCGGTGGCCGTCGTGGTTGGAAAAGCCTTGAGGTACAATTTTAGTGATCGTGATGATGGTCAAGACGATCGGTACTCTAGGCATAAGGTGTTTGAAAATGCTTTGAAAGAAGCTACCAAACTCAAGGAAGCGCCGGAGAAGATAAGAACCTCGATCGTTCGTTTTGCATTCGACACTTTACCGAGCAATGAAGAGACGATGATCAAGTGCTGCTGGCATAGCAAGAAGTTTTTCAAGCTCATCAACAATGCCAGCGTTCACTACAATGAGCTGATTTCTCACTGGATCATGGAGGGATACTTCGACCATTTTAAGTACTCCAGCAGCATTGTGAAGGCTTATGAGGAGGGATACCGCATTTTGAAGGAGCTTATGAAGCGAGGCCTGCTCAAAGTCGAAGACGAAGACTTCATTGCCATGGAAGGAGAAGCTCTTGAGGTTCAGGATTACCGCCGTGAAGGATTCGATGAGACGGCGACGCTGGGATTGCCTGATGTGTTCCAAGGAGATGAAGAATGGCAGGGTCTAGGGAAAATTGCCGTCGCTGACGGTATGATAAAAACGGTCTGCAGGCATAGGAGGTGGTGGCTCATTTCTACATTGATTATGGATCAAAATCGGCTTTGCAGGGAAGTTCCGAACACCTTTTTCAAGCCAATGACGGAGCTCAAAGTCCTTGTCTTGCTAAATCCAAGGTTGAAATCTTTAGACTTCATTGGAGGAGCAGAAGCCTCTCCACTATCCAAGCTCCGGTTGTTAGTGCTTCGAGGCTGCGACGTGCTGGAGGACGTCAGTTCAATCGGAATGCTCGAATCATTGATCGTTTTGGAAATCTCCGGCGCCAAATTGTTGAAGGAAATCCCAGATGCTCTGTTTAATAAGATGACTCAGCTTCGCAGCCTCAACCTCTCCGGAATTCAGGTCAAGTCTCTGCCTATTTTCAAGTTGACCAAACTTCGTTGGCTTATCCTTAGAGAGTGCTCTAAATTGGAAGAAATGCCGAGTTTGAAAGATTTTGAGGATCTTGAGGTACTTGACATGTTTGGTGCTTACTCTTTGACAAAGTTCAAAGATAAAAGATTTGGAAACCTTAAGAAACTTAGAGTGCTAGATTTTTCCCATTCCAAGATTGCACCTTTACCATTTTTGCACAATTTAACTGCCCTTACTAGGCTCACACTAAAAGGTTGTACCGAAATAACAAGGCTTCCCCACTTGAAAGAGTTATCTAGTCACCAAGTTCTTGAACTTCCTGGTGCTAAAAAGTTCAAGGAATTTTACCCTCTACACTTGGAAAACAAGAAAGCCCTCCGAATACTCGACCTGTCCGAAACCAAACCTCATCAATTGCCTTCAACTTGGAGCGACCTGCCTAGTCTTGAGGTGCTTAATCTTTCCCATATGTCCACTCTAGAAGATTTAGGTGTTGGCTTCAATAAACTAGCATGCCTTCAATGTCTTAACTTGTCAAACACCAAAGTCAAGAGCCTTCCCTCGCTTTCGAATCTCACAAGCCTTCGCCAGCTCTATCTTAGTGATTGTCCGAAATTGGAGGCCCTCTCGGGTGTGGAAGGACTAACAAGCCTTGAGATTCTTGATCTCTCGCGGGCCAGTGAGTTGAAAGAGATGTCAAATCAGGTGTTGAAATTACCGAAGCTTCGCGAACTTCTACTACCGGAATGCAAGAAGCTCGAGAAGTCGCCAATCTTCGATGATCTCCCCAAGCTCGAAGTGCTAAACCTCTCGGGATGTGAAGCTCTAGAGCTTGAAAATCTGTCCTTTCAAGGAATGACTCTTCTTGAGGTACTTGATCTCTCTAAAACTAAGGTTCGGAGTCTGTTATCCCTCTCTCCTTCTATCCGACGACTCCTACTAGAGAATTGTGTCGAGTTGGGAAAAATTCCAGCTTTAGATTCACAATCAAAGCTTGAAGAGCTCAGCTTGTGTGGTGTAAAGTCCTTACAAAAACCTGAAGATAAGTCATTTTACCGCATTGGAAGATGGAAATTTCTTCAGACTCTCAACTTTTCTGAAACCTCAATGATTTTGTCCACAGACTTGATCACCAAATGTACCAACCTGAAGAAACTGTTGTTAGGAGGCTGCCTTTTCTTAAACAAAAAGCCACAACTGAAGGAGCTCACGAAGCTCGAGGTTTTGGATCTTTCAGATACATCAGTAGTCGAGCAAGACAAATCTAAGGGAAATCTTAGCAACCGAAGTGAGCTTATTAATTCAAGAAAAGTCTTGAGCCTAGAGGAATTGTCTGATGATCTCAAAAGTCTTTTGATGTTAACTAGTCTAGATCTTCGGGGTCTTGAAGTTAAGATTTTCCCTTATTGGATCTCAGCCCTGATTCATTTAAAGAAGCTTCATCTTCCCAACTTGGCAGGCGTTCCAGAAATCGACTGGGGGCGGATAAAGCGCTTACCAGACGGGCTAAAGTTGGCAGAATGTGGCATCATCAACAATGTTAGTATTCACGGGGTGAGTTCTAGGCCATCAATCTCGATGAGCAGCATAGAAGTTGTCAAATCATTGAAGCAAAATTCCGACATATGGGAAAAGTGCTTCCAAGAATTTCGCATTTACGTTTGCCCTTATGTGGAAAGTGGCAAAGATGAAGACCTCTATCATCTCAGAGATGACAAATTTGAAGATATCTATTTCAAGACTATTAGTTGTCCTGAAAGCTGTCAGAGGTTTTTGGAGATCCGCGGATTTAAAAGTTGTCCGGATGGTCTTGAGGATGCTCTTGAAGGAGTTGATTGTCTGTCCTTCATTGAAGATGATTTCATAACAAGTTTTTCGGATATTGGAGCTGAGAAAAAAGAGGCAATGACAGGCTTGTGGCTAGAGAGATGTGCCAAAACAGATATGATATTTTCCGAAGATAAAGTTATCAAGTTGGGAGAAGATTTCAACATTTTATGGGCTTCAAACCTTCCTCTTTTGAATATTCTATACAGAGGAAATGTGCAGCCTGGAAGCTTCCAAAACCTTACACAATTGTATCTAGACTGTTGCCCAATGCTTAAATATGTTTTCTCTTCATCCCAGATGCCAAAGAAGCTTGAGAAACTCCAAGTCAAGTTTTGTGACAAGTTGAGGACTTTGATCGAATGCGAATCCTCCGCGGAAGAGCACGAATTGCAGAACCTGAGTGAGCTGAATCTGATGGAACTGCCTGAACTGACTGGTGTTGGGGCCAAGTTGCCAGGTCTAAAAAATGCTAAAGTCAAAGGTTGCCCAAAACTGAAGAAACAGGAGTTCATAGATGGCCTCGGACTGCAAAACAAAAATGTCGAAGTTACACATGTTGAAGAGAATTGGGGAAGAGGTGCTCCAAAGGAAACCAAAGAACTTTTCAAGAAGTGAAGTAGCATATAATGTTGAAGAAAAGTGTGTTCATAGACTTGTGTTTAAAGCAAGTCAGTTGGTGTGTATGTGTGTGAGAGAATAAATGAGAGAAGACGGTCTTTGAGTATTATATACATACATATATATATATACATATATATATATATATAATATAGTACTTTGGTCTAGTCAAAGTACTAGCGTGTGTGAGCTTTTTGAGGTTTCTGTTTGTATAACTATGTCATGTGATTGTATTTGACGATTTTCTCAAAATAAATGTAACTCAACAGAGGCCATGGATATACATGCCTTCTGCAATATATACATGGAATTTCAGTTTGGTTCTGATTTCTTCATAATCTTGCTCATATTCTTCAAATCATATGTATGCTATGACTAATTATTCTTTAAGAGGAACACATTACTGAGAATTTAGAATTTCAGTTTCCGCATATGCTAGTGAAAAATCTCAGTTATGCCTCCATTAAATATAATTGTGCTTCTTAATTCAATAACGAAAATATGAAGTAATTTCTCCACTCAATCATAGATTATACTTACGTTCCCACTCAATTAATATAAGGCTTAACACACTATTAAGATCCATAGAAACTTACAAGCTTAAGCTTTAAGAAATCGATCTAGTTAACTAAATTATATACATGATCAATTTAAGGAAAAACAACATATTTAAAACTAAAAAATTAAATTAATAGTAATATAATGTTATAATGTTATAAAGTTTTCGTTATTTCTTATATTTTTATATGATTTCAAAAACAAAAACAAAAAAACAAAAAACAAAAAATTGGATAGCTCTGACACTAGTGAAAAACTGCTATCTCTGTGTGGCGTCTGTTAATATTGTGTTACTAATGCTCATTTAGGTATTTTGTTTTGTAAAATAGATGGATCTAATTACTTCTTAGCAAGATGAACGTTAATAGGTTACATTTCCATAGGGGTAGTATAAGATCACAATCCAAGTTTAATGGAATTTAAACAATTTCCAAGTTCCAATCCCACCAAAAGTCATATCTCAAACATCTCGTTTGTTTTTTTTTTTTTTTTTTTTTACTTGTATGATCTTAAGTTACTTAATCAGGCTTCAGATATCTATTTCACTTCTTTTGTTGGTCTTCATAAGCAGAACAACAGAAATTTATGCAGCAAGAGACATAATCAACTGTTCAATATAAAAAAAATTTAAAAAAAAAAGGAAATTTTCAAAAGCAAACTTAAAGCTATGCATATTACAAAAATATTGTCTCGACAATTCAATAATTAATCTTGAGATCCTAATTACATATCACACAGAATGTGACTTAATTCTCCTCTAAAAGGAGACACTTCAACAGCGATTGCTTACTTTCTGCACAGAAGCTTCCACATCCGAAACAAAAGCTCTATACTCTCCCAGATATTTCTCACTCTCTACTTGATTGTGCCCAAATTCCTTTTGACAAACTGGTTCTAATTTTGAGTAATACATCATTTTGATCGCGAAAAATGCCGATGCCACAGCGAAAGCCAAGATGCCACTATTGATCAGAACTGCACTCATCAGACAACAAACCAGAATTATCAGCTCAGCTCTACACTAAAGTGACACTCTTTGAGACATTAGCTGTGACATAAGTGGCTGCTTAGACATAAAAATAGTTTCAATTTGTTTATTGAATTTATTCGAAGAACAAAAAAGGAAAAAAAAAAATTAACGAAGAGTGTAATAGACAATAACAGCCGTCACCATGACATTTAAGAAGACTTGTTCACAAAGAAATGAAAAACTTTCCTTTAAGTTTTCTATTGACTTGGTAGCCAATTTCCTAGCTAATCTATTATTGTTGACCAGAGTAGTTTGTTTTATGTAATGTTGGAGTTGGTCAATTTTTTTTTTTAATGGTTTCTTCACCATGGGCGGCTCAAGGGTAAGGTTTTTAAACTTCTTACCTTATTCCAAGGCTTCAAATATATATATATATATATATATATATTATATTTTTATAAAAAAAATATTTTTTTTTTTTATGTCCTAAGTATATG